GGCACACCCCCTTAAAAGCTGCGGCGACCGCAGCTTTTAAGGGGGTGTGCCGCACCCCATTAACTATATCAAAAAAACATTTTTAGCGGACAGTACTTACTGTAGCCTAGTATCTTGAATCTTCAGAATTCGCTCACACTTTGTCTACAGGGGTTATTTGACATGCTAATTATGGATATTTTGCCCATTATGTTTGACAGGGCCTTCAAGTAATACTATCTTAAGTGTATAGATCAGGGGGAGTCTTATTAAGACAGCAATAAGGGGGGGGGGGGGGGTCGTAACCAGCGATTGCGTGCCACACCCCTTGCTTGACCCTGATTATAAGCTTTATTTTATTTGGAAAAAAATTTTTGCGGGTAACAATTCAACGCCCAAACCTTTCGGCCACTCCGCATAGTGAGTGAGGTATTGTAGAGATTTGATACTGCATACACCGGTAGTTTTTGACAACTATAGAGTAAAAAAGTAATGTTCTAAATTGGGAGTTCACCTAATTTTCCAACGTATTCAAATGCATCACCGGTCTGCGGTTCCGTATGCTATGCGCCTGGAAGTCGCATAATAGGAGCACTTTTGTTTTGTGTAAACGATAGCACTAAGCTTTTTTCTTTTGCAATGAGGAAGACCAATTGCCTCGTGCAGCGTTGATAGGTGGTCTTAGGCCTCGGGCAGAGTTCACGCGATTTGATCGTCGCTATTCAATCGCTATAAGATAAGTGTTACGAGTTCATTGCATGCCGATCTTCATGTATTTCGGTTGTGACAGTTGGTCACGATTAATCGTGTTGGAAAACTATCACAACCGAAATGCAAGAAAATCGGCATGCAATGAACTCGCAACACTTGTCTTGTAACGATTGAATCTGACGATCAAATTGCGTGAACTTTGCCCGAGGCCTTAGGAGGGAGAATAAAAGAAAAAGCAGGCGACAGAGTGAAAGGCGGTAGACCGTCGAATGTAAGTAACTTCTTGCCTGATAAACGAAAAAGTTGAATTTCTTGTCAAGAATACAAAAGCATTTTCAAACAACATAGAGCACTTTTTCGTATCCTGCCTGCCGCTATTGTAAGGTCATAATTTTGACACGTTGTTTGGAACCTTAATCCCTCGATTACCAACCAAATTCAATGACTTTACCAGTTTTGGCTTGTACGCCCTAACTTGTCAAAATTTGAGACAATATGAATCCCCTTCAGCCGTGTAGATTAGAGACTGTCACCACTAACCACAAAAGCAGTATTGCCTATTGCAAGCGGCAATTTACTTCGATATATCTTTACCAGCCGCTTTCTGCCGCTACGCGGCAGATTCGGCTGTTACTCGGCAGCTTCGCTGCCTCGTACACTTTTCATTTTAATGTATACCAATGTAAGATCAAGTCATTTGATTGCCTGTTCGTACGAACTACTTCTGTTTATGACCTGTTTAGATCGACAGACCGAAGACATAATTTTGTACCTGCAAATTTATTGAATCAACATCATAAGCAACAAATAGTATGCAATTAACAACAACATAGAATGGCTGCAACAGTGACTACACCAAAAAAGAAGATCCCAACAACAACGATAAGTACAATAGAAAAGGCCTATGACACAACAACAGTAGCATCTTAGAGTGTAGAACTTCACAGGACTTCGGTGAAAACGACGTTGATTGGATTGCTTTGGATTGGCGACTTGCACAATGAGACCTTCACGCGACCTCGAACGGCTGAGGGCCACATAGAGTTGACCGTAACTGAAGACATCGGTGGGAAGCCACAATCCAACCTTGGTGAAGGATTGGCCTTGGGCCTTGTTGATGCTCATAGCGAGCGCCAATCTGATGGGGAATTGGGAGCGCCGGTGTCTGAAGGGCAGATTCTTGCCGTTGTTGTTGTGGATCCTCGTAATCACGACAGACTGCCCATGCCGATTACATATTATGAATTTGCATTGTATGAGACGACGGCCCATATCGCGGACTTGTAGTCGTGTTCCATTGTTCTAGCCCGGATGAAACATCCAAGTTCCTAAGCAGCATGACGATGGCGCCTTCTTTCAACTTGAGACAGTGCGGCGGCAAGGAGGAGCTAGAGATTGTGTTGAGAAACTCGGTAGTACTAAATTGATTCTGGTCGTTAGCGTCGACGATGACAATTTTATCGTGCGAATAGTAAATCTTCTCTTCACCTTGTATGCGGCTTAGAACTTGTTCGTTTATGGAATTCACGTCGGCGTTCTTAGGGGCAAGGATAGCCTGATCAGACAAATCAACCAATGGTTCGATGCAATCGCCGTATTGCTCTTGGACTATATCTCCTCGACCCATGATTTCCGTTGGCAGTTCCACTCGTCCCTGGCTGTCATTGACGGTGCCGTTGCCCACACGCAATAGAAAGTCCTTCCAATCCGCATCGCGGCTCGTCACTCGCATATTTTCGGAAAGGCGGAGTACTATGAAATACGGCCAAAGGGAGGACTGCTTAATGCACATGTTTAGTTGGTCTGCTCGCGATCCGCTGCGAACAACCGGTAAGATCTGCCTGAAGTCGCCTCCGAGAACGACCATTTTTCCGCCAAAGGGCTTGTCCACTTGCATGATATCGCGTAGTACAGCATCCACCGTCTCAAAAGCCGTTTTTGGGATCATAGAGGCTTCGTCCCAGATGAACACGTCGTTTTCGGCGAGCAGTCTCGCGTCCTTCATCTGCCTTCTATGGGATGATGTCTCGCAGTTGTTCAAGATATTTAGCTTGAACAACGACACCGTTGTGCGACCCGATGGGAGCAGGTTGGCCGCGATTCCCGTCCACGCTGTGCACGCGACTTTGCGCCCTTGACCGATGAGGATATTAAAAAGACATGTATAGGTCCACGCTTTCCCTGAACCGCCCGGACCATCGATGAAGAAAAGCTTTGGAGCATCTGGGACATCGAGAGCACCAAGAATGGTGTCAACCGCTGCCTTTTGCTGTGAATTTAAAGTCCCATATAAGCGATTACCTTCGGCTGAGCGAAATGCAATATCGTGCGCGTGAGCGTGGGACGACGGCCTAACGACGGTGTGGGAATGTTGAATTAGCAATGTTGATATTGTTCTTGATAAGTCGCTCTTCAAGATCTCCGCCTTGCGCCACGTGCTCGAGTTCTCTGCGCAATGTGATCTGCGAACTGGAAGTGGAGGTAGGTGCCAGTTCAAACATTACTTGTTGCCGCGAGTCAAGCGTAGAGATCGTTTGTGCTGTGTTCTCGTTGATTGGCTCGTATCCTCGTTGGCCAACCCGTCCTGGGCTCGCACCATGCCTGGATTGATCCAGTGTCTCCTGAAGGTGTCCGTTGAGCTGTGGTTCCTGTTGCCGTCGACGAAGATGACGTTCACGCATTGAGGTAAGACGCCGTTCTCGTTCTTCTGGTGTTTCTCGGCTACGACGAAGGCGGCTACGCATGGCTTCAGAAGTGCGCCTTGCTGCGGTACGGGCTCGGGTTCTCTGGGCGATACGCATCTGCGACTGAGGTATGGAGGGGGACGGTCCATTGCTGGAGGGGGTCAATGTCGGCGCCACCATGGTCTCGGTAATAGCAGTTGTCGAAGGAGGTACGACCGATGAAGGCATGGTATGAATGAACCGTAAGGCCGGGATAGGGTATTTTGATTTGTTGGCCATATTTGATCTCGTGGATGAACCATTTTGATTTTGTTGATGAGCTAATCAGTCGACGAAACCCGTTGCGAAAGGTCAACGCATAGTTGGATATCAGCTAGTCTCCAGAATGTGGCATACAAAGAATCAAAAAAAGCAAAAAAGTTTAGTGGCCAAAGTTGTAGATATTTTGATCAAATTAATCATGCTCAGTTATCCCTTCCTGCCATTTTCAGCTCAACAGAGATTAGAACATGAAAAAATCGATAAATCGATAGCGCTAGTGAGTGATTTTCTGTGAAAAATCTTAGTGACACCCGCCCCACCCCAATCTTCATATGTGCAAAGTTTCATTTGAATTCAATCAAGTTTTCTAACATTTTAGGCCGGTCATAACGGACTTGCTAAGCGAGAAACGCAAAAAATCGATAAATCGATAGCGCCACTTGGTGATTTTCGGTGAAAAAGCTTAGTGACACCCGCCCCACCCCGATCTTCATGTGTGCAAAGTTTCGTTTGAATTCAATGAAGTTTTCTAACATTTTAGGCCGGTCATAAAAAAAATGCTTATCCAAATATTATAGTATTGATTTATGGCAACTAATAGGAAGAGTAAAACTGGCACCTCAACTTCCCCATAACACCATTTGTCTCTTTCCAATCCGTCGCCTCAACTAAAAGGGCATGGCCAGAATTATAGTGGCTACTCCAAACAAGCTGCATAACATTAGATGCGGGATGCGGCATAAAACGCTGACTCTAAATTTCTTCTATATCTGTTGAACACTTTTATGGAGGGGCCAAGGCCATTATTTTTGCTAAAAAAAATCATGCACATAAAGGGCAAATTTGGCCTAAAACATGCAGCTAGCTTACAACATACGGCCCACATCTAAAAGTGAAAAAAGGCAATATTGATTTTAATTCTGCAGTCTTTATATACGTTTTCGCATTAAAACTGCTCACAACTTCGCCTACAATGCGTTCGGCAGACACGAAAAGATCTGAAGTCAGCGTTCTATGCGGCATCAGGCTTGCAGTTTGTCTATAAGGGCCACTTTGAAATCTGACCCTTCCTTTGGAAGCTTTCTTTTTCATTATTCATCTTTATTATGATGACGCATCTTCATTAAACCTGTAGACAAACTGATAGTATAATATGTTCACGAATTCGCCGTACTTTTCAAGGAGCAAGTTTTCCAATGCGCAAGAGGACGTTTTGCGGTTTAGGTGGTGAAGCCGAGAACTCTCATGTAAGTAGAGTAAACCTCTTGTAAGCAAATACGTCATTATATAGAGGAATTGAGAGTTATGCGCGCCTACTTTTGTATCCCCTTGCTTGAAATACTTGAATAACGGAACTGCGCTTACTTTGAAAATTGCTGGATTGACTAAAATTGTTGACACGCAAGTGATTCGAGCCACTAGATAGTAGACAGCCTACTTTCTCGACGAATGAACAAATGATCCACCCTCTGAATTACCGAATGGTGAGAAAGTTGTTTTCTATCAGGAATGAAAGGGAAGTTTGCTTGTCAAAAAACAAGTTAGAGTTTTTGACTTGTCTTTGGCGAATGACCGGGCATTTTGTGATGCGTTAATTATCTTACAAGTCAAGTCTAGTCTTGATTATAAGTGGTAAGTTTGTCTGCAACTCGCTCCAGGGAATGACGGACAGACATACCTACACACACTCACACACGCACAAAAAGACGTTCAGCGCTTTACTACGATTAAATTCGGCGGCCGTGCTATTTCAAAATGTTATCAGAATTGATTTATCAGAATTGATTTCAGAGATGTTGATTTCAACTGTTTTGTTATCGCACATCAAATTCCCAAAAAAGATAGAGCACCCGTCAAAGCAAGCGCAAAACGGTAATATCCCATTTTTGTGTAGTACTTTACCACAGTTGCGACTAGACCGTTTGCGAACCTCTGCGAAGCAGAGGCAGTGCTTACCACTTCTTATAATCAAGACTAAACGTTGTTTTTTGCTCGTGTGGTGTGTGTATCTGTCTGTCACACAGAGCGAGTTGCTGATAAGTTCATAAGCCATATTATTGCATAACTTACCCTACCAAAATGCCGCGTACTGAAGGATCCACATGCAGAAGAGGGAGCCGGTCCGATAAGCGGTCCTCAAGAAAAATGCGCATTAAGTGGTCTACAGAGTTTCCAGCTGCAAAAAGTGGGTCATCATTTAAAACTTTTCCCAAAGTCATGAATTCGAAGTTATTACCAATTCGAAAGCAATAAAAACCGTTTTCTGCTAAAAATGGCACCAAAAAGAAATAATTGCGTAGATTATCATCACGGTCTTACTCAAAAAAAAAGTTTGCCATAGTTGTAGCCACAGTAGCTACAGCTCTTCTAGCGACTATGAAGCCAAAATAGATCTTTAACTGGCCCGAATTCGCAGTGATCATCGGCGGAATCGTTTCTTAACCGAAACTCACTAATCTTAACTGGAATGCTCTCAGAAATGAGTAGATATTTACAATTTATTTGTGATGTTCAGGGTAGCGCGCTGTGTTTTAAAGTCATCTTCATGCAGGTACAGAGGGGCATACGGATAATGGGATCAATGGAACCACTGCGAACGAGAGATGACGCATTGGTATCATATAACGTTCCTATTCGACCTTGGAAAAATTTTAGCATATTGACACAAGCTTTGCGTTGCAGTATTCGTCAATAACATGGTTATATCATCTATTTAATTAGCTTTCACTTTAGTCGATTTGGCCGACCAGTGTTTCTTATCTTACACAAGCATACTGCGATGAAAGCCGATTATCCCCTACCTTTCTTTTCTGGTAATGGGTAACCTCCCTTTGTGCCCAATAAACATTACCCACTGGCCGAAAAAGAAAACAGAGAAAGCATATTGTTGAGTAGTTCACTTCTAGAAATTTGTCTATTTGTCATAAACAACTACAAGCACCAGAAGGTCATCACTGCTTGGGACGTCACTTACGCCCCTGATACTCCTATTCGGAGAATAATGCTTTTGATCGCTTAGAGAATACCAACAGAAAGTTCCTACTTACAGCCAATTTGTGACTCGCCCCCTTAGGCCAAAACTTGATGAATGCAACTGCACAAATCAAACAAATGTGCTTACCAGTTGCCGGTGAGAGCGGAGTCGCTTAAAACTTGCGGTGCTTTGATAAAAAGAATCCTGTCCTGTCGAACAGTGGAACAAATAGTTCAATCGAGCACTTATAGCGCCCTCACACAAGTCACTGAAAAAGGCCCTCACCGACTATGGCGTAGAACGCATTCGGCGTATGCCCGCAGAAGGTATTAAAGGCTTCGAATCCTTCAAGCTTTACCTTTCTTCGAATAAACGAATATCGAATAAATTCGAAAATAAAAAATCCCGAATAAACGAATATCGAATAAATTCGAGGTTCAAAAATTCTCGAATGAATGAATTTCGAATAAATTCGGAAATTCAAATCGAATGAATAAATATCGATTATATTCGAACATTGGGAGCCGAATTTCGAATAAATATTCGAATGATTTCTCAAATAATTAGAGCAACCATATCTCAAACTTGCTGACATATCTGGCTAAAGCCTATCCATTCATAATCAGCACCCTTGTATCCCCTATACCAACTCCTAGCTCACAATTTTCCAAAAATCGCTGAATTCGATAAAACAGACTTCGATTTTTATCACATCCTTATTTACCCCCTCCCCCCCTGTACCAACTCCCAACCTCGTAGCTCAAGATTTTCCAAAAATCGACAAAATCGATAAAGTAAATTTTTATTCTATAGTCAGCACCCTCACTTACCCCCCTTGCACCAACTCCCAGCCCCGCAGCTAAGACTTCTCCAAAAATCGATAAATTCGATAAAGTAAATTTTTATCCATTATTAGCGCCCTCACTTACCCCCCTTGTACCAACTCCCAGTCCCGCAGCTAAGACTTCTCCAAAAACCGATAAAATCGATGAAGTAAATTTTTATCCATAATTAGCACCCTCACTAACCCCCTGTACCAACTCTCAGCCCCGCAACAACGGTGACCACATATGTACTTAAATGCCACAAATGCTACGATACATTGCCTGTTCATCGGAGACTTTCGTCTTGTGTGGCATAGCTAATCGTGGACGAAGGCATGTGGTTTATCCCGCGAAGCGAGCACGATTGCCCCTAGCCCTGGGCATACTGCAGGGACTTCAGTGGCGACGTGGTTTGGCAATAGTCATGTCCAAAACTTATTCTAAAAGTACAGAATGCAGGGCATTTATCTTTTTAGTAAGTTGTACACGCTAAACATTTGTGGTAAGCTGGCGTTACATTTAAAGACCCCGTAAATGGCAAATCGCGTACGGCGATCTAAACCATCTATCCTCCACTACAACTGCGATTCCTTTACTCAAAATACATCAATTCGCAAAAAATCTCTAAGGTAGCGAATAGAGGCAGTTGTGCAGTATAACTTATGCGAGCAAGAGTGCTCACTAGGTGGGCTTTGCGTACCACAAGCATGAGCAATCCAAAGAAAGAAAAACAGGCATTTCAAAACACTTTTAATATATGAACTCGGAACATAAGCTTGAATTTGATAGCTTCTTTGCTGATTTGATGCCAATAGCAGTGCGAACAATCTCATTGATCGAAAAAGCATCAATATCAATTAAAATCCACAAATGATTTTTTACTGTCAAGCAGTCGGAAGAATGCGACCCTCCATACAGTTCAAAAGTCATTACGGTTGCAAAAGCTGCATTACCGAGTTTCGCAAAAAAACGCGGACGAAGTGAGCTTGATACTTAGCAGTTGGCTCTCAACAAAATCGAACAATCTGAATACGGATTTCATTCGAATACGAATTCGAATAAACATTCGAATAAAATCTATTCGAAACCTCGTTTTTTGATTATTCGACTTTTCGAATAATATTCAAATCCTCGTTTTCTGATTATTCGAATTTCGAATTTTATTCGAAACCCTGTTTTTGATTATTCGAGTTTCGAATTTTATTCGAAACCCCGTCTACTCAATTATTCGAGTTTCGAATATTATTCGAAAATGGAAGAACTCCGAATATGGAATTTCAAAAACGAATATATTCGAATGTTTTATTCGAATGATCGAATTTCTATTCGATTCGGACCCAAGTATATTGGTCAGACAGGAGGGAACATGATTGGGAAGTGGACTGACAATTTTGTTGAGGAACCATGCTATCCCATCAGTTGGGCCGTTCATGCAACTGATGATTGGCCGGATCTTGTAATCTGTAGCTGGCGCGGAGCGGGTATCGCAAAAGGGAAGCTTACGCGTTTTTATGAAGTTATAAAAAACGGGACAAGTTGGGTGGTCCAGCTTAAGCCTATTGAGAAATCGTTCGCTGAGACCAGCTTTCTTTCCGAGCATCATCCAAACATGATTTAGGCGTTTGCACTGAAAGATATACTCCTTCTCAGTTACGCGGCGGTATGCCGTAGTGTCTGAGAGATGAAGCTTGGTAATCTCTCGATTTAGTTTTTGACACATTACGACAAACTCGCCTCCTTTGTAGCTAACAGATAGGCGAACGCTACCACTGTCAATTATCTGCTGTAGCCTCTCTGAAAACCTTGCCACTGAGCGTAAGTCAAGTCAAGATGTCTGGTGTTCTTGTATTTGTTCAACACACTAAATATGCCAGAACAAAAGATACGGAACTTGACATCTGTAAAAAGATGATGGGATACGGACAGATAGGCCCGTAGTAAACCCCCCATCCGGGCATCTCTCTCGACGCGGACCGGAGTTGAGGTCATCGCGCTTCAGTCCAGCATCCAGTGAGCTATTGATTTGGATGTGGATCGCTTCCTAGACATGATAACCACATATGTTCTCAAAAAACCAACCACTTGAGCTGGTCTGGTCAAACGGATGAGCGATTGGAATCACACGCGCGCGGTCTTGGTTCGACACCGGCTAGCGCCACAACTTTTGCTGCATCGCCGGACAATCTTTGATAGCGGCCACTGTCGAAAAAAAAATCGATGATGACCGCTAACAAGGATATCACTTAGCAAATGGACAGATAAAACAAAACTGACATATTTTGACGGGGAATTCATGAAAAACTGAAATTTTTGGAACATAAATAAAACGTAATAAATAAGTAGATTCTCTTCTAAAGTAGTTTTTACAAGAAACTAAGATTGCTCTGCAAAAAAAAGAAGAGAACTTTTATCCTTGCTTTTGTCGCCAAAATCAGCTGTTCATCGATCCTTCCCTTTTCGGGCGCCGGTATTGTGCAGTTTTGCGACGATTTTTTCTGCATTTTTTGACAAAGTTGTGTGTATCGTAAGTTACTCAGGAGCAACTTATGTTAGATGCAGTCACCTTTTGTCTGCGTCTCCTCTTCTACACACTATTTGGATCACTCTAACATCCGTTCACGTTGAGGTGACTTGAATGTGAACTGATGTGGAAGAGTTGACTGCAGCAGGTGGACAGATGGTCAACTATCAGTTGACTTGACCATCTTATAGCAAGGGAACGTGGACGGTGATCAGTTCACCTCACCTAAGGTGAATTGATGGGATAAGTTGAGTTCACCTCAACTGATCGAGCTTTACTACGGGCCATAGTGTTACTCACTGATTAGCGTATCACCCCGATGCGTTTGATTTTCCCGTCTCATTCTAACCAGTAGCTGGTCTCTTAGCTGTAGCAATAATTTTATCACCTTTCGGTACGTAGTGGCATTGAAATTTTGTGCGGATGAAAAGCTTGGACCGAGGCTTAGAGGAACTGTAGCGTTGGTTGATATATGAAC